GAGATGAAGTCTTGCTTTGTCACTCAGGCTGGAGTGCAGTGGTGTAATCTAGGGTCACTGCAACCTCCATCTCCTGGGTTCAAGCGATTCTCCTGCCTCAGCCTCCCAAGTAGCTGGAATTACAGATGTGTGCCACCACACCCAGCTAATTTTTGTATTTTTAACAGAGAAGGGGTTTCACCATGTTGGCCAGGCTGGTCTTGAACTCTTGACCTTGTGATCTGCCCACCTTGGCTTCCCAAAGTGTTGGGATTACAGGCATGAGCCACTGTGCCTGGCCAACAATTTTTGTTCATCTTCTTCCTCTTCCTACCTTCTACCCTCAGGGAGGCCCAGTGTCTGTTGTTCTCTTCTTTGTGTCCATGAGTTCTCATCATTTAGCTCCTACTTATAAGTGACAACATGCAAGATTTGTTTTTCTGTTTCTGCATTAGTTTACTGAGGATGATGGTTTCCAGTTCCATGTTTCTGCAGAGGACATGATCTCATTCTTTTTTTATTCAGGCTTCAATTCTATTTTATTTTTTATTTTTTTCATTTTTTGAAACAAAGTCTCCCTCTGTCACCCAGGCTGGAATATAGTAGTGTGATCTTTGCTCACTACAACCTTTGCCACTGGGGTTCAAGCAATTCTTATGCCTCAGATTCCGGAGTAGTCTGGGATTATAGGCATGCACCAACATTTATGGCTAATTTTTGTAGATTTAGAAGAGACGAGGTTTCACCATGTTGGCCAGCCGGTCTCAAACTCCTGGTCTCAAGTGATCTGGTCACCTTGGCCTCCCAAAGTGTGGGGATTACAGGCATGTAATAGCTTTCAATTCTTGATACTTTCAAAGTAAGTTAGCTTTGGTCTCTTGCTAAACAAAGGATAGTCCTCTCTATGAAAAATTCTATCTTTAAAATTAATGTTTTTAGGCCTATTACATAAATTTTCTGCACTATTTGTATAGAAATTTAGAATCTAAGTGTAAAAGGTTTGAAAAGGCAGCAGAAAGGTGACGGAGATGACCCCAAGGAAGTTAGGAAGGCAGGTGTTCTCATTCTTAGTGTACAATTCATTCACAGCAACAGCTAATATTGGAGTTCTGATTTGTCTGAGTGCTTGAACATAGAACATCTCACTTAACTCTTAGCACAATCCTTAAGGTAAGTTTATTAAAATTCCAACTTTGAAATGAAGAGACCAACGTACAGAGAGGTTGTGGTGGGGGTGGGCAGGGGGAAGATTATACCACTATGGAGCTAGGCTTCAAACAGGCTGTCTCACTCCAAAGCCCAGGCTCAAATCTGTCTCCTACTCTAGGCTACCTAATCTTTTCCCAACACTTCTTACAAATATTATGCTCTCTCAGCCCTGTTCATGACTCCTCAGCCTCATTTCCCACTCCTGGCTGTGGGCTTTCTCAGAGGCTCTTCCTGTATCAGAAATATCCTGCCTGCCCAGCAAACCATGCATTCCAACTCCTCTTTAAGGATTTCCTCATAGGTCCTATTTCTGTGGTGACT